CAAACACCAGTACTATATTGACGGGACGAGGTTAGAAACTGTGGAAAGACACAGAGATCTGGGTGTATGGACGACCACAAATCTATCGCCATCAGAACACTGCAGAAAGATGGTCCAGAAGGCAACTAGTACTCTACACTGGCTCAGACGTGCATTTAAAATATTTCCTCCCGAACTCTTCGAAAGACTCTTTGGTGTCTTTGTAAGACCTCATCTAGAGTATGGAATGCCAGCAGCTTCACCATGGATGAGGAAGGATATCAACTTACTCGAACAGGTGCAACGCAGAGCGACAAAGATGGTTGACGGTCTAAAGCATTTATCTTATCAGGAGAGGCTGCATTTGCTTGGTCTATTCCCTCTCTCTTTTAGACAAATAAACTGCAGCCTACTCTGGACGTTCCGGATTGTTCGCGGCCAGGGTTGCTCATTAAGAGCAGAGGATTTCTTTGAGTTTGCCCGTGCAAACCAACTACGCGGCCATGCATTCAAAGTCGGGAATGAGCGCACGCGTTTAGACCGACGAAAATTTTCATTCAGCCAGCGGGTTGTCAGGCCGTGGAACTCGCTTCCAAGCGAGATGGTGACGGCTGACACAGTTTGTGTGTTTAAAAGAAAACTTGCTCGTCTAGTTTTCGACAGAAATCGGCTCGTACAGCATGACTATGCACAGCCAGTTTTGTAAAATCTGTCATATACAATCTTCCGCACTAACTTACAGTGACCCTATGCACTACCTTATGATTACGATTGAACTGTGACCCAATCACATTTTAAATGCCTGCAATTTTATTTTATTTTTGAGTATGAATCTGCGAAAGCACTGTACATAAATAGGGTCATCAAGGGCTCTGCCTGTAACCCTTCAATATACATACATACATACATATCACCATCATCTCTGAGAGACTCTGGCAGTCCCTTGGCAGCCCCACGATCCAGCAGACTTCGCAGTCCGCCATAAGTGCGTGCAGTGGTCTCGTACAGCTAATTGGGCAGCTGCAATGCTGTGTGTCGTTCCGCGGTACCAGCATCACCGCGATCTGCTACATCACCAAGTCTGATCTAAACCTACTTGGTCTCGACTGGATTGAACAACTTGGGTTGGCCGATATGCCCTCCGCGTTGTTTGCAGTCAGGTGCAGATTCCCGCTGTGCTTGCAGACCAAGCCAAGGACATTCGCCAACGCTTTGCTCCAGTGTTCCAAGACGGCCTGGGTCGTTGCACATACACTCAAGCCGTGCTACATCTGTCTCCTGGAAGTCAACCAGTCTTCCGTCCAAAGCGACCAGTCCCATATGCAGCCCTACCACTTGTCGAGGCTGAACTGAAGTGTCTAGAGGAATTGGGAGTTCTGGTTCCTGTATCCTACTCCGCCTGAGCCGCTCCAATCGTTGTGGTTAAGAAGCCCAATGGCTCGGTCCGCATTTTTGCTGACTTCTCCACCGGTCTCAATGCCGCGCTGACGCCGAACTGCTATCCATTACCGGTTCCGGCTGATCTTTTCACCCTGCTGAATGGTGGCACTTGCTTTGCCAAGTTGGATCTCGCTGACGCGTATCTGCAGATCGAGGTCGCCCCAGAGTCGCGCAAATTGTTGACCATCAACACCCACCGCGGTCTGTTCCAATACACCAGGCTGCCCTTTGGTGTCAAGACCGCCCCGGCCCTATTCCAACAAACGATGAACACAATGCTCTCCGGCATCCCTGGAACAGCTGGGTACCTGGACGACATCATCATCGTGGGTCGCTCCCCTGCCGAGCTGCAAGACCGAGTGTGCGCAGTACTCGAACGCGTGCAGGAATATGGCTTTCGCCTACGAGCCGACAAGTGCCAATTCTTCCTCGACTCCATCAAGTACCCTGGATTCGTTTTTGACGCCAATGGTCGCCATCCAGATCCTGAAAACATTCGGGCCATCCAACGGATGCCTGTCCCCAAGAATGTATCGCAACTTCGTTCGTTCCTTGGCCTGATCAGTTACTATAGCACCTTCCTACCATCGCTGCATGACGTACGGGCCCCGCTCAACCGTCTGTTGCAGAAGGATGCTCCTTGGTGCTGGTCCCCCGACTGTGAAAAGGCCTTCGCCCAGCTAAAGTCGATGCTGAGTTCAGATCTGCTGCTCACGCACTACGACCCGACGCTGCCGATCGTTGTTGCTGCAGATGCTTCCAACCACGGAGTTGGTGCCGTCATCTCACATACTTTTCCTGATGGGTCTGAAAAGGCGATCCTGCATGCATCTCGCACGCCAACCCCTGCGGAGAAGAACTATGGGCAAATAGAGAAAGAAGCTCTAGCCCTCGTGTTTGCCGTCAAGAAATTTCACAAACTGTTGTACGGTCGCCACTTCACGTTGTTGACGGATCACAAACCATTGCTGTCAATCTTCGGTTCGAAGGAGGGCATTCCCGTCTACTCAGCCAGCCGACTTCAGCGATGGGCAACCATCCTTCTTGGCTACGATTTCGACATTCGCTACTGTCGTACTACAGACTTTGGTCAGGCTGACGCCCTTTCTCGCCTCATCAGCAATCAGTAGGAACCGGAGGAAGATACCGTGATTGCCGCTATTTCGATTGGGGACGATGTGTGCCGTCAGTTATCAGACGCCATACGAGGTATCCCTGTCACTGCCGCGGACATCCGGTATGCTACTGAACAGGATCCTGTCCTCCGCCAGGCCATCACCTACGTGCAGACCTGCTGGCCAACCACTGCTCTCGCTGGCGATCTTCGCCAGCTCTTCCTCCGCCGAGCATCGCTATCTGTGGTTGACTCCTGCCTCATGTTTGCAGACCGTGTGGTGATCCCATCTTCCCTCCGACCCACTGTACTACGCCAGTTCCATGCGGCTCATCCTGGTGCCAGCCGAATGAATTCTATTGCTCGCAGTTTTGCCTACTGGCCGGGTATCGACGGCGACATCGACGACCTGGTTCGACGCTGTTCTCGATGTCAGCAAACTGCCAAGATGCCGCATCGTCAACCTCCAATACCCTGGCAACCACCGGAGAGGCCTTGGTCACGCGTGCATATCGACTTCGCTGGCCCACTTACGGAGTCTCCTACCTAATCTTGGTTGACGCCTACTCGAAATGGCCCGAGATTGCTCCGCTGAATCCAGCAACCGCATCTGCCACTATCGCCTTCCTATGACGCATCTTTAGCCAGCATGGCTTACCGGAAGTCCTGGTTTCAGATAATGGTTCTCAGTTTATCTCGTCGACGTTTGAAGATTTCTGCCGCCAGCACAACATCCAGCATCTTCGCTCCCCGACCTACCATCCTCAGTCTAACGGTCAGGCGGAGCGTTTTGTCGACACGTTTAAGAGAGCCCTCTTGAAAGCTCGTGGGGAGGGGACCACGGACGAGATAGTCCAGGCGTTCCTGTTTTCCTACAGGACGACACCGAACCCGGCGTCCCCTGGTGGCGTTTCTCCTGCCGAAGCGTTGATGGGCCGAAAACTGCGGACAACATTTCATGCCCTCATCCCTACCGGTGCGCAGCCCGCGCAGACTTCTCCAGTTTCTCGCAGCAAGCTCTCCATCGGAACACCTGTCTTCGTTCGTGATTATCGAGCGGGGTTCCCAAACTGGATTGAAGCAACCGTAGTATCGCGCAGAGGCAGTATGTTGTTTGACGTCGACGTTGGTGATGACATCTGGGTTCGCCACCACAACCAGATCCGACGGCGACATTGCAGTAACACAACTGGGCTCGATTCGGCGCCGTCACTCTCTCTCGACATCCTACTGGATACCTTCGCCATTCCGGCAGATCAGTCGGTTCCCGAACTCACTTCTGCGCCCCCTTCGGATATACCATCTTCGGTATCAGTTACCGCTCCCGTATCTCCAGGCATTAAACCACGACTAAGACGCCGGACCAACCGCGTGCGCCGATCAACACGTCTGATGCAGGTCAATTCACGCCAGAAGCGGTACTGACCTACTTGGAGGGGAGGTGTTGGGAGTGCCTACACTCCCAAAAACAAGAGCCAGCCAATCACGGGAGGCCACGTGTGTTTTCTCTACTGCGCTGTCATCTAAATCGTGGCGCCTCTCCATTGGCTTTTCCTCGCGGGCCTGATCGATCAGCATATTCGAATTATCGACCGGCTCGTCTCGAATGTTCTTCCAGAAGGGCATTGGGCCGAACGCCGGCGAAGCACCGTAAGGCGTTATAAATACGCGTTACTTCCAGTTCATTTTGACTTGCATTTTCCTAATACACAGTTTCGTGGCCGGTCGCGTTCTCCTTCTCTGCCGCGTTGGTATTGGGGACAAGGGTCGAGTGCGCATTCGCTCCACAGGATTTCACGTACCAGGCGGGTCACAAGAGCATACAGGTATACGCCATCAGGTCGTGACATCGTGCATGAGCTCTAAAAGAGCGACCGTCAGGCCTTCGTACAGTGGTCCCGCACATGCCGCCTTTCTCTTTCTTGACATAATTGCTCATTCACGGCGGTTTGCGACGACCACCAACTACAACTAAGCATTGACAGTCACGACATACATGTGCCTGGGGTTATTAAGGATCTGGGTGCATCATACTCCAAGAGTGTCGGACGTAGTGTGGTCGACAAGACAAGGATTCGCAATCCAAGTCAAGGAAGACGGAGTGAGTTGGACAACTTTTAGAGTTTCGGAAGTGCCTAAACCAAGGCTCTGTAGGCAGTAACCGCGAGCGCACTCTCCAGGCAAGTTGTTGTCTGTGTCCGCCTTCGAGGTGCTCAGATCCAGCGCGTGTGTGCCTTTCGTTGTCTCCGCGTCTGCCAGCCAATAAGAAGGAGGACAGCGTTGCTTGTTCTGGAGCACTGGTGAGGCTAGTGACAAGCCTCTCGCGTCCCAGCAGTGTACCAACAAGGAGTGAGGCCGACAGGACAGCAGCGGGACAGAGGCAGAGGGCAAGGAGACGCGAAGTGCCGCAAGAGTCCCAATCTTTGGGAGCACTGTGCCTTGATAGTTTCCAAAGCATGTAGAACGACCGGGTTCATCCTCCGAATCTTTAAAACCAGCGATACTAGAATGCGCCTTTATAACATATACGTTCGACCTGGCCTGGAATACCGTTCGTTTTCATTTAGCCTAATGCATACTGCTGAGCGGAAGAAAATAGAATCCGTCCAACATTTGTTTACCAAGAGAGTTTTAACCCCGGAACACCGACATTTGTCTTTCCAAGAACGTTGTCGACTTACCAGCCTTGATCCATTGTTGTTTCATAGATTATGAAAGGGACTACTTTTACTACTTAAACTTTTATATAGTCATACCTTTAACTCACTCACTACTTTAAGACATCTTGTCCACCCCCGATGTAACAGTCACCGTGAGGTCCTTTTATTTCTTCTTCTGGAACGTGCAGTGAAGTATCGTAGGTTTTTTTCTGCAAATGCAATTGCTATTTGGAATAAACTACCCACGAATATGAAAAATCTGCAAAATTTCCTTTGTTTAAGGGAACTATTACCAGATTTTTGCATTCAGAAAAACTAACTAATTTTGGGTGCTGAATCCACTGATCGACTCTACCGTAGCGATGGCGTTTGTGGTCTCTGATCTCTATGCCTGGTGTCACCAGGGACCATTTCTTTAGCCAACAGCGACAGCTGTTCTTCGGAGCTTCTATTTGGACCAGATCCACCTTCATGAAAGGAATGAGCGACTGATAATATCCAATACAATGCGACCACTCCATTTCTTGACTGTCGGCATTTGACTGTCAGCAGTTGTTTCCTCCTCAACCCTCCAAACTATAAAAGACCACCTTCAAATTTATTTTTATTCCTTTTTGACAGGAGTTTTTTTTTCACTGCTGGCCGGATCTGTGTTTAAGGCTTCCCTGACAGTGCCAGCAAGCCGACATTAAATACAATTATAAGACTTGATGTTACTTTATTATAATAAAAGTTAAGTTGCACAAGAAAGTGTGGAGAGGTAATTGGGAAATTTACATAGACTTACAGTAATTATCCATGCAAGGAACGCACAGATGACCGCTGTTCCCAGTGCAAGTTGTCTTAATTAACAATGTTCTGAGGTTATCCCATCAAGGGTTAATACGGATGGGGAAATTGGGACGAGCACCGACTCAGCCGCAGCCAAACAAACACTAATCGCACCACGTGCAGCCATCTGCGATGAGTGCGGGAGCCATCACTTCTGACAGAGTTGCAGTCTTACAGCCTCGGCATCCTATGTGTGCTGCAACGTTCTTACTAAAACCTCCTTAAAATCATGTATGTCTCAAGGATGATTGAACGGTTGAAGGTATTCTTTTACAAGGCGTATAGTGGAACCATGGAATAACTTGCCCGAGGTGATTGCAATGTCTAAGTCTGCGGAGACGTCCAGACATCGCCTTGGCAAATACATATTGCTGAAAGAAATGGACTACGCGACGTATGTAAACAAAGTTTGTCCCCACTTGCCACAGTTGTTCATCCACGTCATTGTTAATAGTAAATTTAAATGCGTAAGCTTATTGCCCCAAAATACACTGAACTGAAATCTAATTCTGTCTCTGATAATGAATACAAGCGCAGATGTGGAACGTCAGACAAATAAAACATTTGCTTCGGCGATCGCGAGTACTTCTAGATTGTTTCTTAGGCCTGTCCTCTTCCGTTCTATGGACAACCTGCACTTATATCACGCTATTCATAGAGATTACGCTTTGTCCTTATTCGCTCTTTCCAGGATCTTTTTTGAGCAGCTTGGTGCTCAACTCCATTTGTGTCTCCTCAGAGGTTTCAAATAATGACATAAGATTATCAGAAGTTATAAATACCTAACCAACTCTCATATTTCTCCCATGTTCGATGACCTACGAAATTTCTTCTGAGAATATGAGGACAGATTCTGATTCTGATTGGCTTTAGTGTAATTTGCCGCACCTTCACTTTAGCCAACATAGTCCACCGCCTGCGGGTGCACGTTGCTGTTTGCGTCTTTGGTTTGAGAAATGTCTCAACCACAAGCGCAAGATAAGCTCACTAGGATTGCCATTGTGAGTCAAGATAAATGCAAGCCGAAAAAATGTCGGCAAGAATGCAAGAAATCGTGCCCGGTCGTGCGGATGGGTTCGTTTAGGTTTTTTTTGTACAATTCCTGTAGGCAAATTATGTATTGAAGTTACCCCCTCTGACAAGATCGCTTTTATTTCTGAGGAACTTTGCATCGGATGTGGGATATGTCTCAAAAAATGTCCCTTCCAGGCAATTAATATCATAAACCTTCCCAGCAATCTGGAGACTCAAGTTACCCACCGTTATGGACCCAACTCTTTCAAACTCCACCGCCTACCAATGCCAAGACCTGGCGAAGTTCTCGGTCTCGTTGGGACAAACGGCATAGGGAAGTCTACTGCATTAAAAGTCCTGGCAAGCAAACTTAAACCTAATTTGGGCCGCTATAAGGTATAAAACCTCGCCTGAGTTTTCGTTTCTGGACGAACAGCGTAATGACGTTTCATTTTTTTAAGAACCCACCGGATTGGACTGAAATTCTCATACATTTCCGTGGCTCAGAACTCCAAAACTATTTCACGAAGATTTTAGAAGACAACCTGAAGGCTGTTATCAAGCCCCAGTACGTCGACCAAATTCCCAAAGTTGTTTCGGGTTGTGTCAAGAGCCTGCTCAGTCGTAAGGATGACCACGGGAACCAGGAAGAGATTATCGATGTCCTGGACTTGAAAAATTTGGTCGAGCGTGACGTCACTGAACTGTCCGGAGGGGAACTGCAGCGCTTTGCCATTGCCATGGTTTGTGTCCAGAGGGCCGACATCTACATGTTCGACGAACCTAGTTCTTATCTGGACGTTAAACAGCGCTTGAATGCTGCTATTACGATAAGAAACCTTCTCGATGTAGGTCGCGTTTCTAAAATTTTCATTCCTAGAAATCTAATTACGTGGTTGTCGTGGAACACGATTTGTCCGTCCTCGATTACCTATCTGACTTTATCTGCTGTCTGTACGGAGTTCCTGGGGCATACGGTGTCGTGACGATGCCTTTCTCTGTGCGAGAAGGTATCAATATCTTCCTTGACGGTATGATTCCTACGGAGAACATGCGGTTTAGAGATGCTCCACTCGTCTTTAAGGTGGGTGTCACAGTTCTTCCTTTTAATCTAAGCCGCCTGAACGATTTTAATTCATTTATATTATTTTAAGCAGTTAGCTTTTGTTTCTTACATCCACTTGCAATCCCATGGAGTCCATTTTCTATGGCGACCTAATCGCCTTAATTCTTTTGCTTATATTTGTGTTCATAGCTGAAATTATGCACTAGCCAATCCTACCCTCCACATGTAATATGAGATTTGTAGTGTGGACTCGTTTATTACACACAGGCATGCCTAACCAGCAAATATACAAGTTACCTCGAAAAGTTTTGTCGTCAAAACCGGTCTTTTTGCGTCGCAGCTGTATATGCAGCTCTGTTTTGCAAATCAGTGCCACTGAGTGATTTTCGAACGTTACTGACGAAGTAGCAGACAGAGTATCTTACGGCTAGATCAGGCATGATCGCAGCCGTATCAAGTAGTAAGTATCTTACGGTGATAACTTAACGAGGAGCAGCCCAACTCTTGCCATAATCATCAGGCTTAAATTCATCGTAGACGTCGCGAGTTCTCAATCTCCGTTGCCGTAAATCTCAGCTTGACTAGCGGCTTTAAAGTTAGCGAGCGTCATCAACATTACAGTCCGCAGCGGGGTGACAAATTCAGTCAGACAACACTTGCGCCCATCACTTACGTGGCTATGCTGGTATTTCACAACGGTGGATCAAAAGAAATGATATATCCCCCTCGACGACATCGCTACAGCTTCTATCGCGCTAAAAATTTAGGCCTGTTAAACTACGTAGAAAAAACCAATAAAGACTAGAAAAGGGACTTTTGGAAAACGGCGTTCAAGCGGTACATTGTCCCCGAAA